TTTTTATTTGATTGTTTATGGACTTTTTATATCAGCCTTCGTAAACAATATATAAATGTTTAGCTCGTAGTACACATCTAGACTGCAAGTTGATACGGAATTGCTTGCAGCTCCCGACACTTATTTCCACATAACGGAAGCCGTGTCGTCAGTCGTCACTAACTGAGTTTCCTAGTTTCCCGCCATTTCCGAGCTTCATTCCCGCCAAAATACACAATTTCCTTTCTGGTTTTATCGTTACCGATCCAAGCGGTTGCAATATGATTTATTTAACCGGGACAAGTTTAAGCTTGGCAGGAGCGATTGTTTTGTGTGGTGTAACACTTAAATATGTTGTGATCAGAGCTTTTTGTATCATCTTGTAATTACTAAGTTTCTAATACAGTTTTATATCCGTACACATTTTGCTTTTTCCTTTTTTCGTGTCTGCGTGTGGCCTAAGAGCAAAAAAACCCATTTTTAGCTATTCAGGACAGTTTAAAATTGTGTTCTACAGTCGATGTCTTCTCTGGCGATAAAACTACATTTCATTTCAAATTATCTATGTTAGGGTTATTTAGAAACATAGGTATTTTAAGTATTTTTAACAAATTGTAATCAAAGAATTTACTGTAGTCTTCGGCTTTTATGGTGAAGGATTTTTCAGGGTTGCTACCAGCCATGAAAACCTTGAAAATCTTTAATTATCATTCATATGTGAACATGAAAAAAGGTATGGATTATGCATGAATTTCTCCATTGGACCATGAATTTTCAAAATCAGGAACAGTTATTCAACCAGTACCATTACATTTACCAAATAAAAATATTTCATATTTAAATCAGGTCATAGAAATAACACCAAGAGAATACTGTCTAGAGATGATTTTTTACATATTTATACGATCAGAGACAATATTGCTTAGTCCATTCCAAGTCTTTTGAGGTTAGATGCTGATGTCGACTGAGTCCCTCCGAGAATATAATATGGTTCGAAAATCATCAGTAGGCCAACTCCCACGTATGGATAGAAGGACTTGAATCACAAAAACAAAGTTTTAGACCATGCAGAATTGAAACGGGGTGCGCAATAAAACGAAATTTCCGACTCTTGACACCTGATTTATTTAACTTTGTGGATAAAACCAATCATATATACGTTGTGTAATAATATAAACCAGTATACATAGAGGATATTTTATGAGACTCATGTGGAGTGATAAAACAGGACCTTTTTGGCCAGGTGTGTGGGATCTTATTCCGGTGGAAAGACTGAAATAGACCTATACTTAAATATAGTTTACAATATTCTTCTCCAATGTGTCATTTAAAAGAGCTGGCCCCGTTTTCTTTTCAACTTTGTTTTGAATGTATATTTATAAAGAACTCTAAAATTATTGAATTCCATGTATGGAAGGTTATTTAATAGTAACAAACATAGAAACTGCCTCTTTAACTTCAATTTTTGAAACAAGCAAAACGCAGTTGTGTTGAAAATATACGATCGCATTGACCACGCATTTTTTAACTACCAATGAAAACCATGAATTCTGCATTCAGTTTTTCATCTCACTATGGTGGCAACCCTGTTTTTGTAAATAGTAGTAATCCATGAAATCATTAAGTTAATGTTTTTTTATGAGAAGGTAATTTCGATATTTACAAAGTCACGAAATTGTCGAAAGACGTAAACGCCTGACTTATTCCTCCCGGCAAAATGACTGCGGGTGAGTTTAGTGGTCGTTGCGTATTCTTGATGTTTGATATGAACTTTGTTCTACTCATGCACAATGTTTTAATTTAAATTATGTTCGTTTATCTGTGAATCTTTTTTACCATGTAATATTTTACCAGTAACTTTGGATAAAGCAAGATAAGTTTTCAATCATGATGTAAAATCTTATAATAGTTGTTATGTAATTTATTCATGTTAGGTAATGTTTGATTGAGCTGGTGTCGATTATATTTTTCTCTGTGTTTCAGTGTCTTCTTTATCTATGAAGACGAACAGTTAACAAATTAATTGATTCAATTGGTGAAACAATTATTTGTAAAGTAAAAAAAGTAAACTTCAAATCTCACGAATGTATAAAATACCAAAGGGATCACTAATACATTAAGATGATTGAAATAGATGAGTTTGTAAAAGTGTGTATCCAACAATATTATTAGGCAGGACTACACTTCCTACTTACGTTATTGCCTACAGAGGACTCCACCCTTTCATTAATTATAACACCTCTTCCCCCCCCCCCTTGGACATTAAATTGTAAATCATACAGATTGTTTTAAATTAGTGTTATCAATTGAATTTGTTAACAAATATTGTCAAAAAGTTTTAGTGTGAAGACCTTAAACTACTTTGCAAACAGTTTATACTATGCATTTTTTACCAATTTCAATATTTTTTGTGTTTGAACTTAAGTATTTAAAAATATACTTTCGAAATTAGTGGGAAGGCCTTAAACGATATTTCAAACGTGTAATACTAAGTATTTTACCAATTTGAATTAGCCTATTTATTTGTGTTTAACCGTAGATAAAAATAATTAAATATTCTATTTGTTTATGGTTTAACTTAATTATCATAGACGATCTAACATAAGATGATTTCTAAAAAATAATTTGGTCCAAACTGTTACTTTGATAGATACACAAACCCTTTGCTTAGTAGTTTTTTTCAATAAATAGCCTAATGACTGTATTTTTCCAAAACATTTCCTTTTCTATATTTAACCAGCGGCCTTAGAAAATAAATGCGATCACCGTATCTACTTGATAGTCAAGTTTATTCTACGAGAACGATTGTGATATTGGCATTAAGCTTTATGTCTTTCTTTGATGTAGGTCTACACTAAAAATATATCACCTCTTATTCAGTTTAGTAAATTTATAAATTTATATTTTTACACTAATAGAACACTTCTGAATTATCCATTTTTTTACATCCACTTATATCTTAAATATTTAATCACTATTACTAATACGTTGAATAAGGTATAGAATAAATTACCCTGTGTGGATTACAACACAGTGAAGTAATTTGTTGATTACTTATATTTTATTATAGTTAATGATAAACTTTATTAGATATATGCCTCGATGAAGCTGTTCTTGCATTAGAGACATCTTATTTTACATTACAGTGGAAAATAAGTTTTCTAAACAAATCCGAGCGATGTAGAATGAATAGAATTTAATTTATACGTTTACCATTTAATTAAATTGTTAATTAATTCAATAACCAGTCTATTTCGTGTAACAGGGTTGCACTGGGTGCATGTTATAAACTTAAATATCATAACACTATTAATTACTTGATTATCATTGTACCGATAGGTTTGAATGAAAAACTCAAAAATAGGACGCTTCACTAATTACATATAGGTGCACAACCTTATACCTGGGTGCTGACTGGACTTTACATTTTTTATAATTAAAAATAATTCTTCAATAGCTAACATTGGACATTTATTGTTCAACAGTAACAAAACGTTGTTGTATGGATAATGGTGATAATTTTTATTAAAAACTGTATGAAATAATGTAAAAGGTGCACCCCAACACTGAAGGAATACACTAAATTGTGTACTAGTCAGGGAATTTTACTTATTTGAAAATCTGCAATATATCAATTCTGACAAATATGCAATATATCAACTATACCTCTTTTTTAAGTCATAGAAAAGAAAACCTTGTTTAACCAACGTAAACAGACAGTTAGACTATTAAAATACGAAACACTTAAAATGTTGTCGAAATGTGTTTTTTAGAATCTTGTCAGTTGCCACTGTCTGCAGGTGTTACACAATACTACAATAGAGAGATCTGTACCAACATTTTGGCCCCTAAGGGTGGGGGGAGGGGTTCTGTTGTTTGATCTCTATCAAATATAGAAACTGTGTCAACCCACTTTTCTTTTCTCGACAATTTTCTTGCGACTTTCTTTATACAGAAGAGACCTCTGTCTCTATACATTGTTATGTATTGTTTTTTATAAACAAAGAGAGAAAAAGATATGATTGATGAGAAATTTATTAATAGTATATATTTGATTTATGATACAATTTCAATATAGGTTCTTAATAGTTTGATAAGAATTAAGTTTTGTCGTAAAAAAATCATTAGTAGTTATTATAGTACTATTTATCGTAGTTTTAAGATGTAGGGAATCATAGTACTTATTTGTTTAGTCTACGCAGAAACAAAAATATACTGTTAATCCGAATTGTTATTTGTGTTTTCACAGAAAAGATAACTACTTAAAACTTTCCAATTCAGATAAAATTTAAATCAAACCTGTATAGGTAAGTTAATTTGCATAATTTTTGGAATGAGGAAAAAGGAATTAATTATATCCGAAACATAGGTTTTTGTGAACCTTTGCGGGCCAATTAAGATTAATGTGGAATTAGTAATTTTCACTTGATAACGGGAGGAGTTGATCTTCCTCCAGAAACGTTGACACATTAGCAAAGTCCAATTTAATACAATAGCAAAATATTAATGGTTTAGGGATATTTTGCCTCTAAGTATATCAGCATTTTTGTGCTCTAACTAATCTGTAGTGATAAAACAAGAACCCAACGATAACTAACACTACCATAGTATTTAACATTTTACAATATCATATATATTTAACAAGTACTCAACCATTTGCTTCGAAATATCAGTCCTGGCCTTTGATATTGCAGCTGGTAAACTGTTTCTTGTCCCCTAATGTACTACTGTTGTGCTTTAACTCATCGGTTTGTTTATTCATTAGAGGTGTTGGTGAAAATCTACTCTCATTTACAGACTACAGTGTACAATAGACTAGCCTAAAATAATTACGTCTAGCAAAACTTTAAAGGTGCTAATGATAATAAGTGAAGTATTTGGCTACTTGACAATGGCTGTTCTGTAAATCTGATGATTGAGAGAAACTCTATTTAAATAAATACATTTTTATATAATGCAGATGCGAGTTTCCTTATGTTATCTACCGTCAACATAGTATTTACATGTATGTTGTGTTGCAGGTGAATGGAGTGGTCCTACATGGAAGATGTCACTTGAATGCCTCAGCCATTATCAAGGGTCTGCCCGGCCCCACGTTCAAAGTCATAGTTCTAAGGTGAGTGTTGTCATTGAATCCAAAATCCAACAATCATTTGTCAACTTATGTTTAAATTGTTTTTGGTTTACTACAGGCTCTTTTATTTTTCAAGTAATTAGAAGTAGAAAAATCTGACAAGGCAATGTATGTGGTAAACCTAATGTGTCAATGACTTTTTTTGCAAAAAGAATTTTCTTGTTTATGCTACAGTATTTCGAATCAAAGAACTCGAATGTTCTAAAGGAAAAGCTGTTGAAACCACCTCGTTTTTTGGATACACGGGAATCGAACACGTCCCTTTAACAACGAAGATTAACACGCTATTTTACACAATACCAATTATAAACTTTTGTTATGTATAAGACTGACCGAACTATTGACTGTTAAACAATGTAGTCACATGATATGTTTTGTACATTTTTAACCTTGTATTTGAAAAAGATACTTGGCCTACCTCTTTTTTAAGTCATAGAAAAGAAAACCTTGTTTAACCAACGTAAACAGACAGTTAGACTATTAAAATACGTTTTAAAGGACTACGGACTATTGCGTAGATGACAGTTTGACCGGAGTCAGCCAACTTCGCTTTCATAGTGTAGGTGCCCTAGTGAGCTACCACCAATTTTGAATAATGCTTAGGTTTCTCATCAACACGATATTAGAGTTCTTTTTAGCATGGATTTATGAGGTAATGAACCTAAGGGCTTGGTGAGTAAAAAAACTCTAATGCATACAACAAAGCGTTTATGTCCCTTGGTAAAGAACCGAATCGTAACCGATATAAACAGTTTTCTGTCGGTAACAAATTCAACATAACATAACCATTCATTGAAACCTGTAGTAACAAAAGATAAAAGGTCATATTTGAAGATGGAATTTTTAAATATACATAGTAGTATATATAGTACTGGTAAATATGTTAAAATGAGGGTCATGTCGTAAATAAAGAAATATAAAAGCTAAAGAATCCTTGCGGTACTTACTTTTGAGTTGTTCTTGTTTAGACTTCTTTAAAGTGAATAATCTGGTTTAATCTCCTAAATTATTTATCATAGAAAGCACAGACTAAGTTTTTTTGTCATCATGTATGAAGTAAAAATTAAACACTCAGATTTGAGAAATAAATATTTATGGTTTTTTTATTATGGTGAATAATTTAATTCATATGTTTCAGCTGATCGAATAACGTAATTAAACATTTCAAGTTTAAATTACTTGCAGAATAATATAATAGAGCGTTTTCATAAAAAAAAATACTGAAAAAAGTGCTTTGTATATTTTCCCCAGGTAGTGGGTAAAAAAGCTTTAAAATTACACCTCATTTATGAAAATTGGTGAAGAAATTAGGAAGTTATGGTCTACCAACATAAAAGCACTTTAGAAATTATAATAACATTAGATTCTACGATTGTACCTTGTGAACAATGTGACTCTTGTTATGATAATGTGTTAACGAAGGCGTAAGAACAGCTGATCGCGTTAATATGCCTTTGCGTACATCAGTAAACTTGGAACACCTTGTTAACTCTGCCACCTTGATTATTTTGAGAAACATTTCATACTTTTTACATTATTTCTTAAAAATGTGATTCGTAAAAATTACTGTTATGCTATTGCTGTTATGTTATGTTAATTACTATATTACTTATCATGTTTAAAACGTTAAACAAATTAATTATTTTTAAATTAAAATTTAGAAAATTATTTTTGATGTCTTTGTAAAGAAGAATTTTTGTACCCATGAAATCATACTTAATGACCCCTTGCCTGCCGTTCTTGTACATGTAAATTCAGCTTTTAGAATTATCAACTCCCCCCCCCAGGCTCATCAAAGCCCCCCTCCCTCCTTTGGATGAAAAGCTTCTTTGTATATTCTGATAAAGACTCAACCCACCAACTTTTTGGTTTCCTATAGTTAAATGTCTTATATCTTGCAACAATTACATTATCGTCATATAGCTTCTACAGTTATTACTGTATTCAAGTATTGGACGATATAAGATTGAAATTGAGCGTAGATAGAAGCCTGAAAAGGTATTATAGAATACAATTGGTTGGTATTATGCAAGTCATATTCTAATCCGAATTTGATCACTTTGGAATCAAAATGAACTTGGAATTATCATTTGATATTATCCTCAAAATTAATATAGATATTAGTTGGATGTTTTGAGTGTGGTTTTGTACAAGTTATGAACTCCCAGCCGTTTAACAATTTTCAAGTATTGCCAATTGATTATAGGATTTCACAAATTGTATTCCATGACAAAACTAAATAAAAATTATTTATCTTTACAAAATACTCTAGTCAATTTGTTCCACTGCCAATCAGATTTTAAAGTTCAAACAAAGAAACTGTTCAAGCAATCTTATTTTCTATGGTTCTGTCGACATCAATCGAATATATCGAATGAGACAGAAAACTTCCGAGCATAGAAATATTTCCTTAAGTGTTATGGCTATCAGGTGGGCGACTTTTTAGGGTTGTTAACTAATACAATAATGACATATTATAACATTGATAATACCATAAACATGAATAATACGAACAAAGTTTTCGTATTTCACCGTATTACTAACCATGCAATGTATGCATTTCTCTGTTCTATGTTTCTAAAGTAATAATTTTAATATAATTCCTTGTATATAATAGGAAAAAGTTCTAAATTTCCTTTTAGAAGCCAGGTTTTTCATCCGCACAGCTACACTAGTTCACTTACACGTGCAAAATTTCACAATCTACTCTAATTCAAAACACATTCTTGACAAAAACAAATTATTAGAAAGTGAATGGTTGCAAGATGATAAACGCATAGTTCCGCTACGCAGAGATATTTCCAAGTAGATCATTATAATATGCTGGCTGAGAGGGTTTCAATAGAGCTGTGACAACCAAGAGGCCCATCTGATGCCAGAAAATAACTTGACGAAAGTCACTTATGGATGATGAGTTAAAAAACACAATCTTGACGAAGTTCATTTTCGCAAAGTGTATATTGTCGAAAATAATAAATTGTTCTTATTTTCTATTAGTGATCGGTCAAACATAGGTTTCACATTTCGATGATCATCAATCTCAAGCCTTCATCAGATGGAAAGAACAAAACAAGATTAGTACCAACAGAAACATATGGCTGAACATATTAACTAGTTATAGAAACAAAGGGTAGAACTCACTATGTAACAATTTTCCCACAAATAAGAGACAATTAATCAACACTGAAGCACTTAAGTGTTAGACATGAAACTCAATTAGAAACGAGCTTCGCGTATATTTTACAATAAGTGAAATCTACTCGCTGTTATCCATATCATTATTGATTGATGTTTTACTTTCTTTGATGATTTACAGTACAATTTAATTAATAAATTATTCATAGAGAGTAGAAGATTTAAGAGTGGAATGTTTGCTTAGGACAATATTTTTTTGCACTTTTTGCATGACATCCTTCATAATATCTTACTAATATTATAAATATGAAAGTTTGTGTGTTTGTTTGTTTGTGTGTTTGAAGGTCAATCACGCATAAACCACTGGGTGGATTGGGCTGAAATTTGGCATGATGATAGCTCACATTCCCGATTAACATATAGGCATATTCTTATCTCAAAAATCCCTTCGGGCTCCGCCTCAGTGGCTCTGTAGTTCCCCATGTTAACCTTATGAGTATTCATATTTAAAGGGAACTTGCTGTACCCGCGGGCTTTGCCCCGCTTAACTTCATAAGTATTCGCATGGCTCAATCACGTCCTGGTTGAAGTTCGTTCGCTACGCTCACTCACCTTCAAGTTGGAAATCATTCGCTGCGCTCACTTGTTTTCAGGTTAGCTCGTTCGCTACGCTTACTCGCCTCCAGGTTGATGTTCGTTCGCTACGCTCACTCACCTTTTGGTTGCCAATTAGCTGTTGTCATACATTTAAAAAAAGTCATCCCTTTTATTGTTTATAATACAGTACTTTTATAAAGGTTTTTATGTTTTAATATTTAACATTGGAGAATTTAAACGTTGTTAAGTGCACAGGTGTGCTGTGATTGGGGTTTAATACATTTGGACTTATTCAAAAGTAAAATAGTTTTCTGTGCTGCAATCTGTAGAAACACTGTGGCACTATTTCAAATCATGACTAATGCTAATACAGAATGTTGTAGTTATTCAAACGTACAAAACAATTGGTGAAAGTAAACATCTACTTTTAAATTATATTTATTTGTAAACATTGTAGATCAAAAAGTCTGACATTGGCCCACTTAAAACCCTCTGGGGCAGAGCCCTTTTGACGGATCTGCACCAAACTTCACTCGAACCATCCTTGAAAGATGCTTAATAATGCCTGAAAGTTTCATTACAATCTGTCGAGCGGTTTCGGAGTCCATAACGTATATACACATGTATATACATACATAGTTCCTCTTTTATAGATATAGATTAAAGAATTTAGTCAGCTGTTTCAACTAAAAAAATTGGTTCTATGATATACAAAAGCATTAAAAAGTTATAAGATTTACCAACAAGGGTGCAGCACTATATTTTTTTGCATTTATGTAAACAGCTAATCTATATATCTATATTCTATATCTATACTTATTTAATACGCAAGCATGTTTTTTGTGACAATTACTCCTCCTAAACTGCTGAACCGATTGACATGTTTTTGGTGTCATTGGAAAGAGCGTAACGTGAAGTTGTGCAGGAAACTTCCTTTTTAGGGAAATAATTAAAGGGTAAGGCCCTGGAGCCCTTTAAAGTTTCGTATTTCTCCATAAGATTAACATGGGGAACAAATATTGTTATGCAACTCCAGCTGTTGTCAGAAATTAAAAGTGAGAAGAAGAACATATGTTAATTTTAAACAGTCAATAAGTTTGCTAATTTTACAGTTTGCTACAAACAATGAAATATTTACTATTTGAATTCGGGTTGGCGTAAATACTATTACATAGTATTGCAATGGAAAAAAGCGAGAGAGTCTGGATAAATTGATATATTCTGTTATGTACATCTTGAATATTTCCATA